TAGAGCAGCAGAAATAAACTTGCCTCCTCCCCAATGTGACATTCTTTCAAATACTGAAACATGGCTTTCCTGACTCCTCTCAACCTTCCCTTTTCGAAGCTAAACATAATATATCCAGCTTCCCCAGCCACTTCTCATGGGGCTTGACTTTCAGACCTTTGATCATTTTGGTCTCTTTTCTCTGGACATGTTTTAACTTGTCAATATCCTTCTATATTTTGGTACCCAGAACTTGACAAAGCATTCCAGATCAATGCAGAATAGAGTGATACTATTATTTTTCCCCAGTCTAGACACTCTGTTCCTACTGATGCAACCTAGAACAACACTGACTGTTTAGCTACCATATTACCCTGCTGACTCATATTCGGTTTGTGGTCTACTAAGACTCCTAGATCCCCTTCATATGTACTGTTTTCAAACCAGATGTCACCCATTCTATATCTGTGTGCTTCATTTTTTCCTGCCTAAATGTAGTACCATACATTTTCCTCTATTAGTTTTGTTCATTATCACCCAGCTGTCTAATCGGTTAAAGTAATTTTGAATTCTGAACCTGTTCTCTGGGCTATTATCTACCCCTCTCCCCAAATTTGGTATCATCTGCAAATTTGATAAGCATGCCTTCTATTCCATCTTCCAAGTAATTGATAAAGATGTTACATAGCACAAGGCCCAGGACAGAACCCTGTGGCTTCCCATTATATATGCTACATCCACAATATTCCTTCCATCTACCAGACTTGTAAGTCATCTGGCATTACTTGTTTTTGAGAAACCAATGGAGACAACAAGCCAAATAGTTGTCCACAAGTTACAAACATCCAACTTACATATGACTCATTCTTAAGAACGAGGGTGAGACAATAGGAAGTGACAGAAATCTACCCCTTGGAAGGGAAATTTGCTCCCGAAAGAGTTATCATGAGGAAAAGGTGTCTCATTGAAGCTTTCCCATCAATCCTTGTTGTCACAACAAGCCACAGTTTCTCAAAATCCAATTATCACATGGACAGAAAGAGAGGTGAACAGGGGCACAGACAGTAAAAAAAATGTTACAAGGGTGTTAACCCTTCCCTATGCTATCCAAAGCGTGCACGCACACATATCTATATCTATATATATCCGATCCTATCCAATTTGTCGTTGATCCACTCCTTTGGGCTTCATGTAAATCTAACATTTGCCAGATGGTAGATGGTAATATATACACTTAAAAATGTACCTGCTCCAACTTATATATAGGTTCAGTTTAAGAACAAACCTACAGAACCTATCTCATTCATAACTTGGGAACTGTCTGTAATGAAGAGCCCATTACATATTTTAATGTTTTAATTGCTAGTTAATTATGTGGTAAATGTTTGTGATATGCTATAATTTGTTTACTTGAGTCATTAATTAGTACATTTTTTTGTTTCTTTGGTATTAGTTATTGTCAGTTTATATTGCGATTATTTTATCTATTGTTTTAGTGTTATTTTTTTATCTGTTGGGTCATGGTTATCGGCATTGAATGTTTGCCTTTTTTATTGGAAAATGCCCTGAGTACTCCTGGGGAGATAGGATGGGGTACAAATATATTATTATCATCATCATCATCATTATTAAGGCATATGTGCCAAACACAAGGCCTGCAGGCCAAATCCAGCCCATATCCGGCAGTGAGACTTCCACTGCCAGGCAACATAGTTACATTTTTTTAGTCTTACAATTACAAACAACCCTTTGTAATTTACCATAAGGTTGACATAGCCCATGTGGAAATGAAGCTGGCATCCCTGTACTGGAGCAATATGGGAGAGGGGTGGTTCCTGGAGCATGTTCACCTTCATAAACTCTCTTCAGGAACTAGAAGGTTCCTCCTTTCGAAATAAAGAACAGACTTGTGGCTTCATATATAACAGGTGGCAACAATGGTTTGCTGTGGAGTCTTTCAGGCTGTATGGCCATGATATAGTAGCATTCTCTCCTGTTGTTTCACCTGCATTTGTGGCCAGAATCTTCAGAAGTCTGTTGAAAATGAGGCCAGTGGAGTGTGTGTATAGTGGAAATGTCCAGAATGGGAGAAAGAGGCTTGTTTGTTTGAAGCAAGTGTAAATGTTGCCATTAATTAGCATTGAGTAGGCTTACAGCTGCAAAGTCAACTAGTGGGGGGTATTTGATAGAGGTGGCAACAATGTTCATCTAGCATGTCGCCCTTCATAAACTCTCTTCAGGAACCTAAAAGGTTCCCATTTTGAAAATAAAGAACAGATTCATAGTTTCATATATAGCAGACGGCAACAAGGGGTTGCTGTGTGGTTTTTCAGGCTGTATGGCTATGATCCAGTAGCATTCTCTCCTGATGTTTTGCCTGCATATGTGGCTGGTATCTTCAAAGGTCTGTTGGAAATAAGGCCGGTGAAGTGTATATTTCAGATATAATATATATCTGAAATTTCCAGGGTGGGAAGAAAAAAAATCCTGTCTGTTTGAATTAGAGTGCAATTAGCATTGACTAGCCTTGCAGTTCCCGTAGGCACAGTGGGTTAAAGTACTCCGCTGCTGAGCTTGTTGACCGAAAGGTCGCAGGTTCAAATCCGGGGAGTGGTGTGAGCTTCCACTGTCAGCCCCAGTTTCTGCCAACCTAGCAGTTTGAAAACATGCAAATGTGAGTAGATTAATAGGGACTGCTCTGGCAGGAAGGCTCCATGCAGTCATGCCGGTCACATGACCTCGGAGGTGTCTATGGACAACGCCGGCTCTTCTGCTTAGAAATGGAGGTGAGCACCACACCACAGAGTCAGACACGACTGGTCTCGTGTCAGGGGAAAACCTTTACTTTTACCCTTATCTCCTTTGTGTTTAAAACTGATCCTTTGTTCATAAATCAAAGTAAGAATATTAGATGCCGATGTGCCAATGTTGCTCTTTTGCATATACATTCTTCTTATCAGGAGTAACAAAAGTCTGTTGTGTTGGTGGCAATACCATGGGCTTCTCAAATCAAGCTCAAAGGCAGAGCGCATGCATTATATAAATGAGGCCCTTACAAAAGAAACTAGGAAGCCCAGTCTTTGTTGCTATGGTTGTCTTTGACATCATCATTGGTACTTGCTGCAGGACTTTAAATCTTGTTTTGTGTATGTGTGTTTTTAAAATGAATGTATGCGTTTCAGCCCTAAACAGTTCCGGTCCAGTCAAGCATGTAGGGGGGGTCTTGAGGGGCTTCAGCCTCCCCCCCCCCCAAATTCTCATGGTGGTTCGCGAAAAGGCCTTACTGGTGCATTATTTAAACTGTTATGTTTATTCATATCATGATCTGATCACCATACTCAATATATCCCATATGCATGGGGGTATTGGGGTAATGATACAAAAGGTTTGCTAGCTAGACCCTCTTTCACTCAGACTCAGCCACCCCCCCAAACAAACTCACCCCCCCCAAATCGAAATCCTGGCTACGGGCCTGGGTCCAGTTTACCTGTCTGAATGTATCTCCCTCTACGAACCATATAGGACAGGGTTTCTCAACCTGGGGGTCAGGACCCCTGTGGGGGTCGCGAGGGTGTATTAGAGGGGTCGCCAAAGACCATTAGAAAACACAGTATTTTCTGTTGGTCATGGGGGTTCTGTGTGGGAAGTTTGGCCCAATTCTATCATTGGTGGGGTTTAGAATGCTCTTTGATTGTAGGTGAACTCTAAATCCCAGCAACTACAGCTCCCACATGTCAAGGTCTATTTTTTCCCAAACTCTACCAGTGTTCACATTTGGGCATATTGAGCATCCGTGCCCAGTTTGGTCCAGATTCATCATTGTTTGAGTCCACAGTGCTCTCTGGATGTAGGTGAACTACAACTCCAAAACTCAAGGTCAATGCCCACCAAACCCTTCCAATACTTTCTATTGGTCGTGGGAGTTGTGTATGCCAAGTTTGGTTCCATTTCATCATTGGTGGAGTTCAGAATGCTCTTTGATTGTGGGTGGACTATCAATCCCAGCAACGACAACTCCCAAAATCAATTCGCCTGAACCCCACCAGTATTCAAATTTGGTCATATTGAGTATTTGTGCCAAATTTGGTCCAGTGAATGAAAATACATCCTGCATATCAGATATTTACATTACAGTTCATAACAGTAGCAAAATCACAGTTGTGAAGTAGCAACAAAAATAATTTTATGGTTGGGGGTCACCACAACATGAGAAACGGTATTAAGGGGTCGCGGCATTAGGAAGGTTGAGAAACACTGATCTAGGACCTTAATATCATCCGGAAAGGCCCTGCTCTTGGTCCCACTGCCATCACAGTTGCGTTTGGTGAGGATGAGAGACAGGGTCTTCTCCATGGTGGCCCCTTGGCTGTGGAACTCCCCCCCTGCAAGGTGTTTGCATAGAGATTGCAACAATGTTCCTCAAACATGTCCTTCATAAACTCTCTTCAGGAACAAGAAGGTTTCTCCCTTTTGAAATAAGGAACAGATTGGTGGCTTCATATATAACAGAGGGCAACAATTGTTTCTTGGTAGTTGAGTTCTTCGAAAAGCGGGGTTTGAATGGCGAAAGGCTGCCCATTCCTGAGAGAAACGCCTCAGCTCCACCCATCACTACACGACGTGGGTGTGTGGAGAAAAAGGGCGGGATTTTCCAAACAGCTTCTAAAAAAAGAACCACACACCTTTTCCTCCCCTTTCTCCTTTGTTATTGCTGGGAGAAGAGGAGGAGGAGGAGAAAAGAGAACTTTGGAAAGTGCAAGTTATCCAACTAGAGTTGAAAGAGTCAGCAAAGAGTCTGCTTCCCTATCTGAAACTCTGAGGGGAGCTCTCTGGCTGAGCAGTTTCAAGCCCTCCCCTAGCCCCAGAATAGCGCGCGAGGAGGCAGCCGCAGAGTTTCAGATAGGGATGCAAACTCAAATGCACAACAGAGAAGTTAGGCAGCTTCTGTCACGTGGGGCCAGCACGCGGAGGTGGAATGGGTAGGGGAAGAGTGTGGCGCGTGAGGAGGAGCAGGCACTTACTTGCGTTCCATTTCCCACCACGACCCCCTCGCTCTCGGCCATGTCTCCCAATCAATGGGGCTCTGAGGCCAGGTGTGGCTCGAGGGCAAGGCGCGCGCCGCAGTTCCTTGAAGCCCAGTCAGCTGACTCTCGAGGCGGAAGAGCCCGTTTTGGCCACGCTCCCCGCCTCCTCCTGAGAGGCTTTCGCCTAGGCTCCCTTCTCGTGACTTTGGGAACTCGCCTCCTGCAGTTGTGGGGTTAGAAAAGGGTTGGAAGGCACTGCACAGCCCTTGGGAAGCCACTGAACGACCTTAAGGAGTCACACACTCTCAGCCTCAGGTGCAAGCAAGAGCATAACCCGCTCTGGACAAAAATGACAAGAAAGGAACATTAGGAAGAACTTCCTGACTGTGAGAGCCGTTCATCAGTGGAACTCTCTGCCCCGGAGTATGGTGGAGGCTCCTTCTTTGAAAGCTTTTAAACAGAAGCTGGATGACTATTTGTCGGGGGTGCTTTGAATGCAATTTTCCTGCTTCTTGGCAGGGGGTTGGACTGGATGGCCCATGAGGTCTCTTCCAACTCTAGGACTCTATGACTTGCCACCTCATCACATTGAAAGGGGAAGGAATGGATGGCCCTCCCTCTGTTGTCGAACATAATACTACCACCACCACCCCCTTGCAGGATGCATAGTTTCCCAAAGGCTGGACCGCCAGAAGACAATAGGATGGTGTCCTTCGTCTAAAGCAGTGTTTCTCAACCTGGGAGTCGGGACCCCTGTGGGGGTCGCAAGGAGGTGTCAGAGGGGTCGCCAAAGACCATCAGAAAACATAGTATTTTCTGTTGGTCATGGGGGTTCTGTGTGGAAAGTTTGGTCCAATTCTATCGTTGGTGGGGTTCAGAATGCTATTTGATTGTTTGTGAACTATAAATCCCAACAACTACAACTCCCAAATGGCAAGGTCTATTTTCTCCAAACTCTACAAGTGTTCACATTTGGGCATATTGAGTATTTTTGCCAAGTTTGATCCAGATCCATCATTGCTTGAGTCCACAGTGTTCTCTGGATGTAGTTGAACTAGAACTCCAAAAACTCAAGGTCAATGTCCACCAGACTGTCCCAGTATTTCCTCTTGGTCATGGGAATTCTGTGTGCCATGTTTGATTCAATTCCATCATTGATGGAGTTCAGAAGGCTCTTTGATTTAAGGTGAACTATAAATCCCAGCAACTCCAGCATTACCAAATGACAAAATCAATCACCCCCAACCCCACCAGTATTCAAATTTTGGGCATATCAAGTATTGAGCCAAATTTGGTCCAGTGACTGAAAATACATCCTGTATATCAGATATTTACGTTACAATTCATAACAGTAGCAAAATTAGTTATGAAGTAGCAACGAAAATAACGTTATGGTTGGGGGTCACGACAACATGAGGACCTGTACTAAGGGGTCGCGGCATTAGGAAGGTTGAGAACCACTGGTCTAAAGGAGCTTCTACTCAACCAGTGAGGGACTAACAGCAGCCCAAACCCTTTCCAAAGACTGCTCCCAAAAACTATAACTTCTTTTTGGTTTGAACCTCGAGATGTGCACTGATTTGAACCAACGCATATCTCAAACCCCTCCAAAGTAGTTCATTTACTGGGTTGTTGTAAGTTTTTCAGACTTATGACCATGTTCTAGAAGCATTCTCTCCTGATGTTTTACCTGCATCTATGGCAGGCATCCTTAGAGGTTGTGAGACCTCACAACCTCTGATGATGCCTGCTATAGATGCAGGCAAAATGTCAGGAGAGAATGCTTCTAGAACATGGCCATACAGCCTGAAAAACCTACAACAACCCAGTGATTCCGGCCATGAAAGCCTTCGACAGTTCATTTACTGTTTCCCACGCCCTCAGAAATAAGGGCCCTTCCACACAGCTATATACCCAGAATATCTGCTTTGAACATCTGAGCCCACACTTCCATATATACCAGTAGAAAGCAGATAATGTGGGATTTAATTCAGCTGTGTGGATGGAGCCTAGGGGTTCTTCCAGATAGGCCCTATATCCCTATTTCTGTTTATCCCAGGTTATCTGGCAGAGTGGACTCTTATAATCCAGTTTAAAGCAGAACACCTGGGATATAGGCCCCTTCCACAGAGCTGAATTAAATCCCACAACAATGGGATGTTATGTATGACAACCAGAAGAAGTTTAACTCATGTGATGAGCTCAGCACCTCTCCATGCCTGAAAAGGCAGTAAAGGGCGAAGGGGACACCACTCCAAGAAATGTTGGTACCATATTAAAGGTAGCAAATCCACACCGTGCCTTGCCCTTCTCCATAATTAATATGAACTGAGCACCATCTCCCCAGTGAGCCTTCCCTCACCCAGTTCCTGAACCCATGATATAAAGATGGAGAGCATCAGAAAACATATGAGTTAGACAAAGGCCAGCCCTGCAAAAATCTCAGGCGCAGAGTTGGAAGTAGTGGGCAGCAGTGAATGTGAGTGCATGTGCCTACAATTTGCAACCTCATGCATTTCATAGGGGTTTATTAGACATGGAATAATGAGAGATGGTTTTGCCTGCTGCTTCATCTGAATATATACCCTACAGGATGTGATATTCACCAGCAGTCTTCCATCCAAATCCTAACCAGGTCTGATCCAGCATAGTTTTCAAGATCAGATGAGATCTGGTGTCTTTAGAGTATTTAGGCCACTGCTGCAGCCACTCACCCCTTTACTCCCCTTCACTTCCTCATCAGCACCACGATTCCATTCTTCTTAAATCAGCATCCCAACAGTATTATTACTGGTTTTCTCTTCTGTAGAATGGCAGTCCTAACTAAGCTGGCTACTCCCACAGTGTCATAACCTTGTTGGGAAAGGTGCCTAACTGACAGAGGAGGCTGAGAGGAGGCTACCCTGCTGCCTCTAGGTATGCTGAAAGACAAGGATCTTTTGCCAGCTTTGAAGTGAAATTTGGCTGCCAGTCTTATCTGCTTCAATATGTGCCATGAGTGAAGCTGTCTCTCATCTCACGTAACAAAATGTCTTGGTCCAACCTGACTCCTTCCCAGAAGAAAAAAATTGCTACACCTGTCAGTTCATTTATTGTATGGTGAAAGAAGATCAGCCTACTCCAACTGAAAGGTCTAGGGCTGCTGGGAATAAAACAACTTCTGTGTAAGGTAATGGTTGTCAACCTGTAATCCTTCGGGTAGTGATGGACTACAGTTCCTGTTCACTGTAGCCTATGTTGCCTAAGGATGATGGTGTTGCAGTCCCATAGTATCTGGAGGAGCACAGGTTGCCTACCTCTCTCATAAACAAAAACACTACCAAAGAAGAAACAGTCTGGATCCAATTGGATTTAAATGTTGAACAATTCAAAAGTCCTGTATTGAGGCATATCAATAAACTCCCTCTGAATTCTGGCATTTTCTAATAGATCACTCTCCCATTCTTGCTTCCCGCATTCCTCACCCTCTGCGTATCTAGTAGTTTATCATACTGTGAGCCACAGAGCACATCTTAGCTTTTATTTAAACTTTATGTACTGTATCTATTTGGTGCAGTCACTCTGTAATGGTTGGAATTATTTTTCAAAATGTTTATACTATCCTGCTCCTTAACAAGACAGACATGCAGATAAAGAGATATCTCTAATATGCATCATAAGACTTGCAGAATTTCTACAGATATCTTAACAACCAAAATTCCACTCAAGTCCACCTTTTCTCTGTTGCAGACACATCAACACCACCATTATTTTCTGGCTAATGGTGACCGGGGGAGTGGGACAGAGGCATCCAGGTGTTTTCTTGGATGTTTGTATGCACCTTCAAATTGCCTTTCGATTTATTTCAATCCCACGACTCAGTGGCAAGTCACTTTTGAACAAATCTTGCCAGAATATGCTGTGATAGGTTCACTTTAAGATCATCATTGGTTGAAAATAACTTGAAGGTACACTTAGCTGCTACAATGATGCAAAAACTTGAACATACTGTATTGACTCAGTACTAGCATCCAGATTAAGAAATGTAACTGTTGTGCATTGTGATCATACTCTGTAAGGTTTTCATGTACACGTTTTGGAAGAAAATGGATGATAAAATGTGGACGCTCTTATAACAATCCCATAATCATAGCAGTACCTAAACAGTACCATGGCATGTTTTGCCAAACACAGTTCTTCCTTCATTAGTCTGCAGTGTACTGTCATGCTGTTTAAAAGTTTATATTTCAAAAATCAAGAATAGGTAATAGTATCAATTACCCCACCAAAATATATTTTAAAATGTTAATGCACTCTTTGTTTTAAAGGAGAATCACAGTTAGTGGACAGTTACAGAATAGTTCTTGCTTTGATGGTACACTGCTTCTGAAGCTAGAAGTTATGTGTGTCCATTGATTGATTTACCTTTCATGGATATGTCTAATCCCATGTTAACTCCATCTCAGCTAATAGCCATCTCCACATCTTCTAGCAGTGAATTCCAAAAATTAATTGCACACTGTGTGAAGAATTGCTTCCTCTTGTTAATTTTGAATGCTCAACCAATCAATTCCTTTGGGTGACCCCTTGGTATTATGAGAGAAGAACATATCTCTATTCACTTTTTCCTTACCACAAATAATTTTTATACACCTCATTTCACATGGGATCAAACCTGCATATTTATGTCTCCTTGTTACAATGTTTCACTCATGTCATTGCTCAATTTTACTCCCCCTGCCTGTTGCAATCTTCAAAGTTGATATTCTTTCCCAAAACAATATGGTTTTCTGGCAATGCCTGAGTTATAGGCCAAGATTAAGTAACAGAGGAAATGACTTGAGGGCCAGGGGAATTTTGTTAGAGCAGGAAGTTCTTATCACTTGTTGAGATCCCTTTCGTGTCAGTTAACGTCTGTAATTGAAATATCTCACCAATAATAGCATGGCAAGTATTACAGGAGGTGCATAGATGGAGGCACTTATTCACTTGCAGTCACTATGAAAATGTGATCTACATCTTTGTTGGGCAACTAGGTTCTGAGAGGAATCTATAATGAAAAGAGCGTGACATCTGTGGCAGCAGAGACTGGTAAACAGCCCCATTTCTCTAGTCTAGGGGTTTCCTGCCAATACCGTCAAACTGATAGTATT